ACACACAGTTTTTCTGCATCGTCCGCTCTGTGTATGATAATGTAATTTTTCTAGCATTTTACTTGGCTGATTTCGAAGTTGACTGATGAATTAGCTGCTAATAAGCTAGAAAAGATGCCAGTAAAGCGTATGGTCTTAATCGTAACGTTCTTTGGTCTTAATTTCCTTCCATAACTACATTTTGTGACATATCCTCGGGAAAATAATCCACACATAAAAAATAATCCAATGTAAACTTATATTATTTCGTAATTTTCGACTTAACAAAAAACTTTCGTTAATTAAACAACAAGTTCAATTGTATCGATTTAATAAAATAATTGTGCTGTCATAACATAGCGATGTCGGCGCTGAAGTGCCGGCCTGATGTGGCCTGTCGCCACAATGAATAAAGGGGTCTCATAACGTGCAATATTATCCAGCGAGGGTTCCAGCGTTCTATGATGGCTTTTATGTTTTGCTATAAAGCCATTAATTACATCTGAACTGTCTCGCAGCATCCAGTTAAATCTCAAATATAACAAAAATGTGTTTTCTGATACCATTATTGCCTTATTAATGAAAGCTTTCGTAACCTCCTTCCATAGTAAAATATTACGACATTCACAAAAACTGAGTTCCATAATAATTTAGATTCTAGAAACTCGCTAAAAAATAATACTTTTCAAATGAAATATTGATTGAAGCTTCATTTCAGATTGTAGGAGCGACGAGCTTTAGTATTTACTCCAGTTTCAATTGAATACTGAAAATGTTTGCCATCAAAAAATATGTTTTCTTTGTTGAGACTAGAATTTCGTTTTCTTTGGATGCAATATAGAAAATGAATTGAAATATTCTGTGGATAACCTCAAAAAATATTTTTTTTGTTTATACCCGTGTGATGCATGATGAAAATTCTTTTTCCATTTTGTTTTATATGTACATCAATATATATATACATATATATATGGCATGCTAGTTGTGATATATACTATATATAAATAACCAGCATGAACATTTTATTGCAGGTGCAAAGGGTGTTTTAAATTCTATTCGTATAATGTTGCGATTAGTAAATCTCTCTGTAGTCTTTGTACTTCTCTATGTGAACGTTGTCAACGGTGTGAGTGATGACAACGTCACAGCTGAGGCAAAAGTATTGTCACTTGATAAGTTTGATTCTGACGATCCCTCTGAGAGATTTTTCTTTACGAGCAATGCTCTTAATTTTGGTAACAACAACGCGGCGACAAGTGTAACCATTGGAAACGCTGGTTATGTGGTGTTGGGAGCGTATATTCTCGTCCCACTCATTATTGGGCTAGCCTTGCTTTTCTACCTCATTGGTGGTCACGGTGAGCGCTACGGAGGTGGCGGCTATGGCGGAGGGGCTGTTGAATCCTATGGGTCGACAGGCTCTACCTACGGCAATTATGCTAGGTTTGTCTCCAGTTGTAAATTAAATTGTAAAAATCACTCCGCTAAGGGTATGTTTAAAGGAACTAAAAGGCAAGTGCTATGTTTGGGGATCTCACGAAGGGCATTGCGAGCCAATATTCAGTCTGAAACACTTCTGCGTGCACAGGCGCTCCATTTGATTTCTTTTTGTATATTACCCAAGTGCCTGACACACTTCCATTTCTGAGCTCTTTATGTTGTCTTCATATAATTCTTTGGATAATAATCGGTGTAATGGCTATTGAATGAGATGTCGGCCAACAATCAGGCTCTCTTTGCACCCTCAGTCAATTTCAGATGAGATGAATTGTTGCTTGTCCCAGTGCAGGGGCGTCAGAAGCATCCCAGACGAGCTTGCAAGCGGGAATGAACTTTCCTTTAGGGCAAGTGCGAGAAGCTGTGTGCGTACTTATTGTAAATATTTCTTATTAAGTGAAGTATTGCTAATATTGAAATACTCCTGCAGGGTGCAGATCTATCCAAAATGGCAGCCATTGTACATGTTGCAAGCATCGCTACATTGCTGCTATGGGCAACTGCTGTCTCAGCGACCTCCCTTTCTTCTTCCTCTCTGGACATCGACGATATTTTAGATCCTCTTTTCAAACACGCCCCAGAACTTCACTTCTTGAAACCACTAGTTCAAAATCTCGTATCACATTTGGTGAGAGAGTTCCAACATCAGTTCAATCTTTACTCAGGTGACATTGAAGACACTCAAGTAAATGAGAAGATTTTTATTACAAGTAGCGCTAACGCGACAACCATGATCTCATTTTACGGACTGATCTACTCGATACTGTGGATTCTGGCGATGTCCATTGTGTCCAGTATGGTGATATGCTACTGGCTCGGCTGCGAGTATGAGGACCCTGACCTTCCGTCTCATTATCGACAGCTCAGGTCCTTGGCAATGTGGGTAGTGACAAGTCATATCACTGATGTTTTTTAATTAAAAATAAAGTGTTAGGAATAGATTAATACAACTAATTTAAACTAACTAAAAGCCTGTTAAAGCAACGAGAACGATTATTTCGAACCTAGATCACAAACCTCACAATTCTTTTATTATGACCATTAAGTCAAATTACAACTGTTTAAATTATTCAACAGTAATTATTTCTCATAATTTTCGCACCTATCGAGTAATGATCACTACTGCATAAATTACTCGCTAACATGAATAAACTACGAAGGCTTTAAATAAACTGTTTAAAGATTATAACTTTCACCAACATGAAATGAAAATTATTCACCAAGCATGGACACAATGGATAATTTGATTGTAAATATAAAACAAGCAACATTCAAACTTATAATAAATTTCGCCTGCTGAGGCTTTAATCAACACCTACCTCAATTTTAATCTCCAGACGCACAGGCCCAGAGTTCATGCAGCTCATCACTGTCAATCACATATCTATATTATATCCAGCACGTTTTTTTTCTAAAGGCATGGACTCTTCGCTACACTTTGCTCTCGCCCACTGCCCTAAACTAATTCTGGACAAACTTCTATTTGCTGTATATATACTTAAACATTTCTGATTTGCTATCAACTCTTGCTCTGTGCTACAGTTTTTCCTAAAGCACCGTTCGTTGCATGATGCCGGATGTTTTAAATGTTCTTCGGATGTACAGTGAAAGCAGCACTTTTTCCTACGTCTTTTGTAAATCCTCAGTCTCAATTGAAGCTCGCAATGTGCCTTAAAGTTGATCAGTTCCTCCCTGCACTTTTTCAATGCCGAAATATGCATAGATAAAATGAAGTGTAGTATAAATGATCAAAAATAAGGTTATATTCTTTTGCCCCAAACACCATATCACCAGCCACTTGTCTGCCAGTGTTTTAATCAAGTATTGAGCATTTAAGAGTGTATTTCAATGCAAGAAAAAAATCTGAAGCGTAACTGAGGTGCTGAAAGAACTTGGTTGTTAGCCGACATTCGAGTTGTTTGTTCTATCAGAGTGTATAATTTATTATTCACCAGATTGACTGCACCACTGGATCCCTGAACTTTCCTGTAAAAAACATTCAAGGCCATCAGCCACGAATATTTGTTCGCTTATTGTCAAAGTTTCAGCGATTCCGTGTTGCAAGCAAAATGGTGTCCCATAAAATTTGTCTCCGACACTCCATTATAAAAATTCCTCAACCCTATGGCAACGTTCCCATAAACTCTGATCAATAACCTCCTCTTCTCAGACGGCCGTAAGGCTACTGTACGAACTGTAAGTCTCTAGACATTTTCGTTGATGATTTCAGATCGTCAATTCGCTATGCACAGAATGAACCGCACGCTCCAAGTCCTGGCCTTGTTGGTCGTAATCTGCGCTGGGGCCCAAGCCGCTAATGTAGACGAGTTTCCCTTGGATGACATTAATTACGATGAAGACAGCGCTGACTCCCGGTTTTTGCTAGTGAACAGCAACAGCACCTCGGTCACGATTGGCTATGCCTCCTTCGCTCTGGGAGTGGCAGGAGTCCTTGGCCTTTTGGGCCTGCTCGCTCTGGCGCTGATTTGGGCTGCGGGAGCAGGACATGATTACTCGGGCTACGGCCAGTCAGGATACTCTGACTACAGCAGCGGATATGCTAGGAAGTCGTACGTCCCTCGAGTTTATTGATAATTTTTAAGCTTTTGCATTGGCTTCTAATAGATTTCACTAAGTTGTTTCACCTCTGTAAGAAAGTACCGCCCTTCTGTTTCATGTTGCCCTTACGCTGGCCTAAAGCGGACGACCCCAGCGAAGTGCTTCAAGCGAGCGTGCGGTTCATTCAACATGCGTTAACTCCGTTACGAAAATATAAACTCCCTGACTTTTCCTCTTAAAACACCTAGAATTACAAACACTCTTTCTTCAGATGTCTGTCAGTTAATAATGTAGTTCTAAGCAGCAGACAAATGCTCAAGTCGCACTAGAGGGAGAGGTTGCGACGTTGATAACCTCCTCTCACGATGATCTCTCTTGTGTTCGCTTGCAGTGCGTTAGAGGCTTTACGGAAAACTTCGCAATGAACCGCATGCTCCTGCAAATCGTTGGGGTCCTCCTGACGACGTCTTGCGTCTTCGGTCATGAATTCATGCCATACCCTGGCACCATAAACGAAGAGACAGCAGATTTGGGTGCCCCCACTTACACGGACGCAGAAGGGCGTGTATTCTTCGTCTTCACGAATGCTTCTACCACGGGCTCATTTGTCACATTCAACACAACCCTTTTGTTATTCTCTGCGGGCATTCTGCTCTGGGGAATTGCTGGGGGATTAGCGTTATATTACCTTCTGACTTCTCCTCATCTCGACTATGGACATTCCGGTTACGACTCTGGTCATGATTCTGGTTACGGATCATCAGGATACGGTAGAAAGCGACGCGGGTCAGTAGTTTATTCCTTTTAAATTCCATATGTGATTTCCTTTCTTCATTCTAGTTTGATTTAAGAGATGACATTTGGTCAACTATTCATGCACAGGTTTTAATAAAATTCTAATAAGTTTTACTTCTCCGTGGGCACTCGAGTGCGCACTTGCTTCTATTTAAAATACAAATAATATTTGATCCAAAATAACCCTGCATGGATAGTAATTCTTCCGTACACTAACAACCTTACGTGCCTGAATGAAAGTTCGACTGTGCACTTCGATACTCGATCTGAAATACTTCTGTAGGCGATGCTGTGATGTAGCCCGTAAGGCTTTGAATTCTTCTTAGTTCCTGCAAAGAACGCAAAATTCACGACTATCGATGTTATTACCAAACATTTATAACTAGACTTCAAGGGATTCATCACAGCTGCCTATCAGAAGAATTATCGGAATAGAAGTGGTTAGCAATGCCCTTTTTAGATCAATGTAGCTCAGATTTCGGTTATTATAAACTGTGTTACCTAACGCCCACAAAAATAAGGTAAGTCATCACATGCCATTGATCATCCATTTCATCTCATTTTTGGGTCTCAAAAGTGAGCAATGTGATTTTCTTTCTCGGAATCGTTTCACTTGGATTTTCTTTCGTCTGCTCCAGAATATTTTTTGTTGCTCTCTAGCTTTTTGATATTTTTAAGTTGTCTCGCCATCGTTGCTCACTACTTGAAACTTCTTTTCGCCATTGCTTTGATATTCAGACTGCAATTTTGCAGCTGATTGGTTGGTTGACTTATGCTTTTTGGAAGAATATTGTTCAGTGTTTTAAAATTCTCCATAGAGAGCGTTTAAATTCTCGCTTGGTCCAACTTCTAGACTGACGCAATTTAAAAATCATTTAATTTGTTTGTTCGCGAAGTCTCTCAGTTTTAGTCATGAAACTCATGACAAGTGCATGCATAGAGAAAGCAGAGATGTAGGTTTAGATGTGGTCATATTTATGTTTCCGTGACGAAAAGCACCTCACACTTGCTGATTGAGAAGCTCGGCGGTTTCTCTCGTAGCTCTGGAAAAGTGGACATTTTCTCGGGATGCTCGGAAAGAAAGTAATCAATGGTCTGGTCAGGTAGCGAACATCGGTCAGCAACAACGACAGCAGCCGCGCTGCTTTCTCTCCGCCGACGTACGTGTGTATTTGTCACATGCAGGACCTGCTAATGTTGGCGCTAACTATGAAGATAGTCTACAATTATCACGAATAGCTCTACTCTCATTAGGACCATGGACGTCGATGTCAAGGATTGGTGAAGCTCGTCGACTGATTTTTCAACCAGTATACAAAATATACATCAATCGTTCCGCATACTGAGATTTTTAAATTCTTAAAATAATCACACCTAATCCAAGTTTCGATCCCTCAACGTAGTGTTTCCGCTGTCTCAACAACACAAATAATTTAGCAGCTCAGAGATTTGCCCAATTTCTTGTGGTTGCATGTTAAAAAAATTTGAATATTCGCTCTAAACTAGATAAATACTTTGTAATGGTTACTATTATGAGCGTTGACTAATTTTGAGATTTGATACTGCAACGTTACTATTAATTGCAAATTTTGCCTATCTTAATTATAGCTCGTTGATGAACCTTTTGATGCATGACATCCCAAAATATTGTCATGCTTTCCTCTTCTCGTCCTCATTGTTCATGAGGGCATTTTTTCCTATCGCTACACCCTGCTGAGTCAACAACAAAAACGCTGTCAAGTCAGGCGTCGGCGTCACAGAGCGGCATCTGCATTTCTGAACCAAGCTCCTCCTTCCCCCGACACCTCTTTTTTTGCACCTGCTACCGCAGCTTCTTCTTTTGAATGAGTTTCGTTCGGTCACGTTCTGGGCCGATATAAAAGCGCATTGCGAGTCGATCGAACACACTTGTCGACCAGACCGTCTTTGCATACGCGAGATCAAGAGGCGCTCCTAGATTGTGCTTCAAAATTTATTAATAATTTCGAAACAAATTTACGAAAATGGCTTCGGAAAAGTGTATGTTATTGGTGTTTTGCCTCTTTGGGTTAGCTGCTCAAACCCGAGCACTGGATGATTATCTGACTGACGAAGCAGTGGATGAAGAAGGCAGATTTTTCTTCCCTATAATTATCGGTTCAGGTAGTGGCCTAAGTTTGAACATCACTCAATTGGCTGCTATTGCTGCTCTTCTGTCGTCCGGTCTCTTGGGCTTACTTGGTCTCGCAGCCCTCGGTTTCCTTCTGTTCTCCCTACTTCATGACCGAGGAGATTCCGGGTACGGATCAGGAAGTGGATACGGCGGAGGTGGTGGTGGCTACAATACCTATTCTTCCTACAGACGGTGAGAATTTCTCCAATTTCTTCACCTGCAGAAATGATGAGTTGCTTCAGCGAGTACAATTGGTTCAAAGGCGAATTCATTTTAGGATACAGGGGCACATGAGCAGAATATTTTGCAGAGACGCTGGAATGCTCTAACAGCATCCTAATGTAGGTGATGTTTACAGCACACATGGTGCTACTAAGTATACGGGGCAGTACAGGCTGCTCCGCAATATCAACACGTCTTTCGGTTGGGGCATTTGAACTTTTGGAAACGAGCTTTTCTAGGAGTTTGAATTTCGTTGGTTTGTATTTTTTCCATTTGCAGTCACCGTATCATTTTTTCATTCATTCTTTCAAAGTTTATCCTTAATGTATATCATGCATACAACGTATAACTTCCAATGTAATGGTTTAAGTATCAAAGTTTAGAATGAAAAAGAAGTTAATAGAATGATTTATGTAGAATGAAAGAGTATGATTTATGAAATCTGTATTCAGCCTACCTGTCATTTATAATAATTCACAAACAATAAATAAAATAAAATAATTTTCAGTTCGTCCCGATCACGAGTAGTTTGCTCGCTGGGCATCAATGAAATTTGCCTCTGACCCCTAGTGAAATTTGAGATATTATGGTATATTTGCTTTAATTTTTAAATGATATAGGCGTATTACAATGAAGTATGGTATGAAATTTCTTCAATCCTTGTGAAATATCTAGCAATACAAGACCATTTACCATTAACGTGTCTAATTATGTACTCTCGCCCCTCCTTTCTGACCACACAACACATTTCCACAAATAAAACATATTTCTGTTTCTGTTAAAACATATTTCTGTTACATACCACTACTGCAATAATTTTTTTTTTTTTTGCAATTAAATGTTAATCAACAACAAAATGGAACAATTGCCGTAAAACACCCGTTACCGATCAATCAAATACCTCTCTATCTGGTTGCGTAAAATTGCTTCTTCGATGATTTCACAATTGTCATTGTGTTTTGAATTTGATTGTGCAATATTAAATTCAATCAAATGAACTTACATCAATAAACAACTACTAACGAAATATATAAATTGAATTATAATGCACATATCATTTGGTTTGATTGCTTTCTCCTACCCTCTTCTCGTACATAACATCTCTCCATAACACACATCAACACACACGTGCAATCCTCGCCTCCAATTCCACACATCTCGGCGCTGCTGGGGTTTGTTGTGGGGGACAAAATCAGGTCATTTGACCCCTACGCGATCGACTGGGAGAAGTTCTCCATCCTGGACTGGATCAGCATCGGCGAGGAGGCCTGGAGGAAGTTTGACCCCGCTGATCTGGATTGCCAGAAGCGCCTCATCTGCGAGATTCACCAAAACACTTCGAAAGTTTTTTTTTGGATGAGTACATTCTGGTAGATTTTCAAATGGAGGAAAATTAAACCAAGCTTCTGAAGAGAAGTGCAAACAGGTCTCTAAAAAACTCGAGGAAAAATTTCAAGGAGAAATAAATAATTGATGGCTAATTATTAACCATCAGTGAATGTGTTTAATGAATCACTTATCTAAATCATTTACATCAAGTTGGTCTTCTTTTCCTAGCAGATAATTTTGAAGCTGTAGGCTAGAGCACCCAGTGGGAAAAAGAAACCAAACGAGAGTTTTCGTGGGAGTTGTGGGCGGTCAGTGGAGGAAAGTTCTCATGCTTTCGCTGCCATTATCTCAGTCCTGCTCACGATCAACTTTTCTCTCACGATCCATTTGTTTTACCTTAAAACAATCGACCGGGTTTTCTTTTTGCTCTTGAAAATCTTTCTAGACCGGCAAAGTGCGGTCACGGCGCATCTAAGCGCTGCGTAAAACACGTCTGCATGCTCATCTTGACGCATTTAACACAGAAATTCGTCGATGGAGTGAGAGAAAACGATGCACTTTGGTGTGATTTGGGTCAACGGAGCAAAATTTCCAATCTTCCTTCGACCTGAAGTTTTAAGAATTTCAATTTCTTATGAGATATTGTACGAGAAAAGACCAGTTACCTCATGCGCATTATGCATGATGACTTTATAGGATTTCAAACTTTTCTATGGGGTCGAAAATACAAAGAACCACTTGAAACGTTCACTTTAATATTCGCGCATATTAATTAAGCTTTGTTATGAATTGTATTATTGTCACGTTTTAATGAGATTAGCACGTGCATGAAGAATAGAGCTGAATATCTTTAATAACCACGTGATACATAAACATTACTTAAGTTTTTTTGTAGATGAACTCTTCTCAATTTTCATAAGAACAATAAATTTAAAGGTTTTAGCTTCTAATATTGCAGCATCTCAGTGACTTAAGTGCATAAAAGTGGAAGAATTAAATGAACATATTGAGGAAATATCTTCCTTCTCTCGACAGTTACCTGCAGTACGCCGAGGTCCTGAGCCTGCCGGAGGAGTTCAAAGCGTTAGTGGAAGAATATCTCGACGCCGCTGATCGAGGAAGAAACTTGCAAAAAGAGTGCGGCGAAATTTACAGTTCGTGTGAGTTTTCCGTCAAAAAAATGGTTGATAAGTTCAGTCACAATGAGATCTAACTTGAGCACGGCTCATGTGACTGTATAACTCCACGACCTGAAATGAAGACTGTCTCAACTGGACTCACGTCGACTGGGCCACTGTGGGTCCCTAACTGCAGTTCGTGCTGCCCAAACCTAACCTTCAACTGGGAAGCTGCGTTTCCTTCAGTATGGGACAAAAACCGCTGAAGTCACGAGATTCAACTTTATTTTTAAGCTGGACGAAATAACAAACATTTAAAAATGACATATTATTCCACGGTAAATACTAGCCCCGGTGGGAGGATTAAGATAATGAACCAGACATTCTTAGGATTTCTGACGGAATAGACTGAGACGATTCTACATCACTCCAGACTCTAATTAAATAGAGAGGGATTTAATATTTACAGGTCTGAACTTAGAGAGAAATTCCGTTGAATGGGATTTACAATGTCATGTTCAATCTAAACATATTCTTGTTAGAAAATTATTTCCTTTAAACGCTCTTCGTTGCTGATGAGCCGCATCTCTTTACCGTACTTCAGATTTTAAGAAAAAAAATCAGCGTGAAATTCACGCATGTAAGTCCCTCAATAATGTACATTCTTAGTGGTGTTTTATACTGCAACGAACGTTCCTTAATCTATTACGTTTGTTGGGCAATTATTTTGAGCATTATCGCGCTGACAAAGACGTATATCTTGAACGCCTCTAGTTAATTATTAATTAAGACTGTACATACGCAACTTAAAGGCTCATTGCAACTTGATAGCCCAGTTGTCGGTATGGCATGCAAGGTGACGCCGGGATCGTTTCAAGTTGATCGATCCCTCCACGCTCGAGCCTTGATTTCTGCTGACGCTTGGCCGGTGCAATGAGTGCTACGTAAACCAAAGTCTAAACGTGTGACTGTACTCTAGACTGTACATAATGACGTGCTATATCTCGGGTCTTCCGTACCAATGGTACGTGCTAATATTTATTACTTTGATCTTAGGCTTGCTAATTTCTAACGGGTGGTGTAAATTAAAATTCTTATTTCATAGTCCAATGGAAAAAGTTTGTGCACTCATGTACCTCGTCTTTGTACACTCATGTCCCTCGTATTTGTACACTCTTGTCCCTCGCCTTTGTACACTCATGTCCCTCGTCTTTGTACACTCATGTACCTCGTCTTTGTACACTGATGTCCCTTGTCTTTTGGTGTCGATTTATTTATTTGTAGCAGTTTATTCCTGATGGTGATTGTCTGGGGCTCTAAAACTGAATGCAATTTGAACACTGGACGAAATAACTGCAGACATTACCCTATTAAGGATTAATATCCTTGATATCTGATACGTATATATGTATGAAGACAAAGACTTCCAGAAAATTACTTGAACTGTATAAGACGCCAAAATGCTCGAAGCTTCGACTGTGGAATGACTCAGGACGGCATTCATAGCGTATCGAAATTCTCCATTGTTATTTATTTCGTTGAAATATTTATTTGTAGAATCTGAATGTTGTTAGTGTTGTTGATTATTATTATTATTATTAAATTTTAATGCTCTGTTATTGAATAAGATCCTTGGTGTTTTTGACAATGTCAAGCGTTTATAAGTTATTTTTTTTTAAGAGTTAAGCAGCATGTGAAGACGGTCATGCGTTACAAATGCTGACTTTTAAATAGAAATTTTTCCTCGTAATTGTAATCATGACTTGTGTCCAAATCTTGCCCTCACAGCAAGGCATCTTGATTGTTTAACGAACAAAATTCTTGCGCGTTTCTGTTCTGTCGGTGTCTCTTCTTTGCATAAACTCGTTATTACGAAATGATTTTTCACTCATCCCACGCTGGCATCGAGGAAGCGACTCGTCAGAGCTCTTCGTTAAAGAAAAATTAATGATCTTATTGTTCTCAGAAGAGCTGTGCAAACTTGAATCTCACGTCAGTTAATTCTTCAAGAAGAAAATAGAAGAAAACAGTGTAGTATCGCACATATGATCCGCCTTTGGTTCAATCTAACCTGAAAAGTAATATCCGAATTAACGTTACCAGAAAAAAAACACTACTTTCGGTTCGATGTTTCATCCAAAACTGAATTATACTTAATCAAAGTTTAGCTTCAGTATGAGGAAAATTTTTATAACTTTTTAATTACAAAATTCACTTGGATTTCTATTTACTAGGAAGCCCAGGAACTTGTTGTAATGTGGGCGTAAACTTCTCAAGCTCACAAAAATATGCTGCGTATTAAAAAGGAACCGANTAGAATTGCAGGTTGCGAACGTTCCAGGACTCTTTTACTGGCGTCTTCGTGGTGACCTCAATGAAATATACAAGTATATCTATGGTTAATACAAGGTCCCAGAAGGATAAATAGAATTTGAAGCAAGAACCAACACCAGGGGCCATGGCTATAAACTAAAAAAAATTGCGTTGCATCTTATCCGCGCGACAACATTTCTTCTCGCTTCGAGTCCCCGACATGTGGAACAGCCTCCCAGATTGCATCGTTGACGCTCCGAGTATAAACACGTTCAAGAAGAGACTTGATAAAGCTAAGGAGAAATATATGTTCAGACTTGAAATGCCTAGCTCCTTATCGAACCCGGTGGAAGTCTAGTAACTATTTCAAACTATCGTCAGTCCTGAAAAGATCCGGTCAAATGACACGATTTTAGATCTTCTGTGAACAAGTCACGAAAAGTAAAAGAATCGGCGACAGGCCACATCAGGCCTACACTTCAGCGCCGACATCACTATGATATGTTATGCTATGTTAATACGTAGCGTGAATCTTGAAACTTACTAACATACCTTAAGTGATGAATTAATCAAGAAATTATGCCACTTCTCCATGAAGAAAATCCAAATAATTTATTTTTTCTTCTAATGATTTAAATTAGAGTTTATAATAAGTATAGCAGGCACTACTATAAAATTTGTGTATGCTACTTAAATGTAACACTAAAGTCATATTACGTTGAGGCTAAATGTTTCTCAAACTATTTTAAGAGTAAAATTAAATAGTCATCACAACACTCTAGGGCCCATAGCGATTCGTGATTAACGCAGATGCATCCAGTTACTAAAAAAGATGACTTCTAAATCCCTTATAAATCCTCATGTTGGGCGGTTTATGTGACTTGTACACAATGCACATCTCGCTGACAAATGGAGCTTCAACTTTCCGAACTTTATTGATCTTTCGAGAACAATTAACACGTAGCCTCTCGAGCAATGACCACCTGATGAAAATCATTACTTAAGACGCCCTGTACTGTATATCTTTTAGACGAGAGATGCCCTGTATCAAGAAGAACGGTCTGCAGCACACAAATGGACACAACACATAGCATGACACACGCACCATATGTACCGACACATAGACAAAACACACAGCATGACACACGCACCATATACAGCATGACACACGCACCATATACTGACACATGGACACAACACACAGCATGACACACGCACCATATATCGTCACATGAACAACAATCTAGGCAACAGACGAGACATGCATGCACATGACTAGAAGTTATTTGCATATGACTGTATATGTCAAAGAGACCATAATTATTTGGGTCACTTCGAGCTACATATTCTGATTTACTAACAAAAATATAAATTATATTAATTCAGCGAAGGTTATCAGAGACATGAGTGGGTTAATGTGACGATATTCAATTAGAAGAACGAAGCACGGAACTGCGAGCTGTCAGCGCGACTGGCGTCACTGCAGGTGATAGAAATGCGAGGTTCCATGTAGACAAACTGCAGGGCTGTCCTACCCACAGGGCGAGATCTCCACGCCACACAAGCAATGTTCAATTGACAAGCCTTGACTCTTGACGATATCACGTTTATCTTAGCTAATGCGCCCCTTACAAGCCTTGACGATATCNGGTCTGCAGCACACAAATGGACACAACACATAGCATGACACACGCACCATATGTACCGACACATAGACAAAACACACAGCATGACACACGCACCATATACCGACACATGAACACCAAACTAGGCAACAAACGAGACATGCACATAACTAGAAGTTATTTGCACATGACTGTAGCCCAAAGAGACCATAATTATTTGGGTCACTATGAGCTACATATTCTGATTTACTAAGAAAAATATAATTTATATTATTTCAGCGACGGTTATCAGGGACTTGAGTGGGTTAATGTGACGATATTCAATTAGAAGAACGAAGCATGGAACTGTGAGCTGTTAGCGCGACTGGCGTCACTGCAGGTGATAGAAATGCGAGGTTCCATGTAGACAAACTGCAGGGCTGTCCTACCCACAGGGCGAGATCTCCACGCCACACAAGCAATGTTCAATTGACAAGCGTTGACTCTTGACGATATCACGTTTATCTTAGCACATGTGCACCTTACAAGCCTTGACTAGATGTCATAATAAAGAACTAGTTTTACAACGTCACATCAGGACATAATGTCGTGCGACTCCAACGTTCGTTCGCAGTCGCTTTGTTAATTGNGCCTTGACTAGATGTCATAATAAAGAACTAGTTTTACAACGTCACATCAGGACATAATGTCGTGCGACTCCAACGTTCGTTCGCAGTCTCTTTGTTAATTGTATTAGTATGAACGGATATCTCTTCTGTTGTACAATGTAAGTGTATTTACTTGTAGTCTCTTAAATGTTACTTTTGTTATATGTTATATTGTTTTGTTGTGTTGATAAGTATTTTACATCGATTATGATCCTTCCAGGTAACCGGGCAATTGTTGAATAAAACTTGAATTACCAAGATTATTTCGTCCCTGATTCCACAACACTAGACATGTATCACTCTTATCTCTCTGCAATTCATGCAGCTAAATTGTTTTTTAACAATCGCACACACATTAAAAACAATAATATTTTATCGATGAATATTACATCACTTACCAGATTCAGCACATAATTTTTCTCTGACAAAATTCATCATCTTGATTTTTCGTTAACACAATCTCAACGTTTTATGAACATGAAAACCACAATTGTCGTCTCAAAATTCTTTTTTCCTAAACTTAGGCCGAAAGCATGGAAATTAACGGGAGGATTGGAAGAGATTTAGTCATTCATGCGAGTGAATGATGGACCGTTGCTTACAGCGCGCCAAAAAGCGGCATATGGCGCACAACGTTAACTGTTACAGTGCGCCACTAACCTCACGTCGCTAAATTGCTTTTCCATATTTTTCAACAGATGGCCCAAGCTTCGCATGCTCGACATGTGCTTCGTCAGGCGTGAAAACTCAAGGATTTTTGCATTAATAGATCCTTAATTGATCCACGCTAAGAGTTTGCAAACTTGCGACAGCAAAATTGAATATTTTACGATGATTGTTTTACGCAAATAATAACGAAAATTAATTGCAAGGATTGTCCGTACAACATGATTAAATTCGGCTCAAATAATAAAAAGTTTATTGCAAAGACTTACTCTCTACCATATGATCAGAACGTCTTGCGGAATACGTGAGAATATCATTATTAGATTTTTTCTTCTACGATGATCTTACGCTCCCCCGGATGATACAATCTTATTAACGCACTATAAAATGCATGGGGCATTGTTCGAATAATAATGTCATTTCATACCCATTAACGTAGGCTTGGTGGGGGCTACTTTTATTTAATTCTCATATCTTGGGTATAGAAATAATGGTACGAAAGTATAAATGAACTACCAATGTATTTTATGATTGAAAAGGACCAAAATTTCAGGTAAGATCACTATAATTTTTATTTACAATATGAATAACTTATATATATGTGCGTGGCCTTATATTTCCGGATGCTCTTAGCCTGAAAGTTATATTTATAAATAGAGTGGAATCTGCGTGAGTAAAAATTACTAAAAAAAGGGATGTAAATATAACTGCACATGTAAAAAAGTCATGACAACGCTCAATGGTTTGAAGTTTTATAAAATTAAAAATGTGATATAAGGATAGCACAATGTAACCCGGCCATCGCGTGCATTGGGTAAGAATGATGGCCGTGCGCGATGTAGCGGCTGTGACTGGTTCTTAGATTATAGTGTGTGTTGGAGAAACATATTATACATGAAGAGAACCTATTGCTAAATAGAGGAAAATTTAGATTCTGTTCTCCTTGATACCCTTAGCACAATCAATTACGGTACACATTTCAAAGTTAATATCAGGTTGCATGATGACGGGATTCACGGGATCTTGAACTGCGAAGACCTGAAATTAAAAGGATTATCTTCCAGAGGAACGCCCATCAATAACTAACTATTCTAATTTGTAGTTCTGCATTAATTGACAGACATTCGGGAATTCTTAAGTTATCTATTGACGTCTCATGAGTCATTGTTAATTGAGGCTTCTCAGGCACATCTGATTCCATCCCTTTTAATGCTGTAATAGGAGGTGTCGTCAGCCAATGTCATTCAATATAGAAAGAACATTTGTAGACCTACGATAGTACGCAACCTCCGAATTCGCTATTCGTTTCGTTAAGATTATTACCTATTCAAAATTTACCCCAGTTCCTCCGATGATTCGGTGAGCTAATTTCTATAGTGTGATCTATTTCTTTCGTATGTTATATTTATGAACCATATTGTTCAATACCACGTTAACCTTTTTATCTCGTATGACAAAATTGTCGTGTTTTTATGTGCAGAAACTCACCATCAATAAAATTGATAAAAGTGTCGAATCATCTTATTATTTTTACTAAACTTTGGGGAAACCTTTATAGGCATAATTTATGTCAAGTCTGTTAACTGTTCTCAGGCCCTGACCATTATCTGCAGAGCTCACGTACAT